GGGAAAAATTAGTTCACCAACCCGAACCAAGACATCCTCTACAAAACCTGTGGGGTGGGCAACACTCCTATTGGCCAACTGAATGACCACACCCGTAGGTTGCGAAGTACCAAGAGACAAAGAATTAAAAATAGACAGAGGCATGACATTAATTGAAGCTCCTAAATCAAGCATGGCATTTTCAAATTTATTGTTACCAATAATGCAAGGTACACAAAATGTACCTGGGTCCTTACACTTTTTAGGAATATGTGGAACAGATTTACCTATGAGTGCTGAGACATTTCTGCCTATGCTGATTCGCTCATTGCCCTTCAGCTTCCTCTTGTGGGTGCACAAGTCTTTCAGGAACTTAGCATATCTGGGAATTTGCTTGATGGAATCCAGTAGAGGTATGTTCACCTCCACCTTCCTGAAGGTCTACAATATCTCCTTATCCACCTCTTCCATCTTTTTGCTTGGAATTGATTTTGGTGGAAATGGAAGAGGGATAGGAGGCTGATGTAGATCATCACTGTGTGCACTGGAAGAAGGTCCACCTGCATGTAAATTTCGGCTACTACCTGTATGGTCCTCTTTCTCAAGTGTAGGCTCAGGTGGAGGTGTAGGTATAGCTGGAGGTGCTGGGATGTCAATTTGTTTGCCAGACCTCAAGGTGATGGCACTCACATTCTTTGGATTATGCACAGTCTGTGAAGGTAACTTGTCTGAATTTTGGGACTGTTCTTGATTGAGTTGAGTGGCCATCTGCCCCATCTGATTTGTTAAACTTTGAATGGAGGCTCTGGTCTCTTGTTGGAATTGCATATTTTGAAGAGTCATCTGCCTCACCAACTCCTCCAATGAAGGTTCAGAAGTAGAAGGTTGAGGAGCTGGTGGAGGTGCAGATACAAGAGGAGGTCTCTGTTGAGGAGGATGATATGTAGAACTTGAGGGATTGTTCTAGAAAGGTGGTGGATTTTTCTGCTGCTGCTGCTGAGAGTTTCCCCACCTCAAGTTAGGATGACTCCTCCAATCAGGATTGTATTTATTGGAAGACAAATCATAATTATGTTGTTGCTGGTGTGGAGGTCTGTTGTTGTAAATGTTGGCAGCATATGCTTGTGGGGCATCAGGACCTGTAGAAGAGTCTTGTAAGGAGGGACAAGCATTTGTTGGATGACTAATTGAAGTGCAGATGCCACATACTTTTGATGGTGGTGGAGCTGCTTTTTGATTTGCAGCCAGTTGTGAAACCCAGGTGGTGACCAGTCTGATCGAAAGGCCTAAAAGGCCACTTGGAGAACGGGCCGTTCTCCAAGCAGCACGGCCCGTTCTGCTAGGAGAACGACCCGTTCTCTAAGTAGAACAGCCCGTGCTGCAAGGAGAACGGCCCGTTCTCCAAGCAGAACGGTCGTTCTCCTTGTAGAACGGCCCGTTTTGTTTGGAGAACGGGCCGTTCTCCTTGCAGAACGGGCTGTTTCAGTTTCGAACACAACTAGATCTACAACACAGAAACGAGAAATCATGAAAATACGAAAAGAAACACAAGAAGAACATGAGAAGACGAAAATGAAAACCAAAGAGACAACGAAATTTACCTTATTGGAGACTAAATGAGAGCTTTAGAGACAGATTGAAGAGAATGAGAATGCAGGGGAATATAAAAGATTTTTGACAATACTTTTAAAATCGGTTCTGGAATAACCGATTTTGTATATACAAAATCGGTTTTGAAATAACCGATTTTAAAAGTAGTACTTTTAAAATCGGTTATAAAAGAACCGATCTTAAACGTGGCACTTTTAAGATCGGTTACAAAATAACCGATTTTAAAAGTTCTTTTAAGATCGGTTATTTTATAACCGATCTTAAAAGTGTCACTTTTAAGATCGGTTCTTTTATAACCGATCTTAAAAGTACTTTTAAAATCGGTTATTTTGTAACCGATCTTAAAAGTACCACTTTTAAGATCGGTTCTTTTATAACCGATCTTAAAAGTACTTTTAAGATCGGTTAAATTTCAACCGATCTTAAAAGTGTTCATGTTATTTACAAAATTGCCACCGCTTTACTTTTAAGATCGGTTATCTTGTAACCGATCTTAAAACTCCGATTTTAAATCCAATTTTTGCACTAGTGATATATGATATAGAGTTATAATTCAACGACTAGATTGACAAAATTTATATTTAATATAAAGTTATTAAGCGATATAACTTTTACCAACTATTACATCACTTAATAACTTAATTAGATGTGAATTTTTCAAAACTTAACATTAGATTGAAAGTTCCTTACTCCTAGATTATATATATATATATACATATATATTAATCCAACATAATTTGATATTTCATATATATAGATAAAAAGTAACGTAATATATTCATTTCAAAATATATTTATTATATTTTAATAGTACAATGAAAATTAAGGAAACTAGTCTAATGTTAAGATTTAAGTCTCTATGATTATTAGGGGTGGATTTAGATTGTATCAGTTGAAAATTCAGTACCTTTTTTTTTCTTTACTATCTTTTAGAGGAGACCTTGATTCTTGTGAATGTATGCAAAGACATTGTGATACTCAAATACTCTTAGAGGGCTTTGCTCTTTTGACTCATACTAAAAATAATTTGATTCTACAAAAATATTCCACATACATTTGGTGAATAAGCAAGTTATAATTTTTTGGTGTACTACTTTCTTATTGACTAGAATTCAACTAAACTATAAATTAACTTGCATAAAAAAGTTTTAGAATTCTTTTCTTTTTGTTTTTTTTCAAGGTGTATAATTGAGTCATTCTTTAGTTTCAAAATTTTACTATTACATTCATAATTCAGTGTTTTTATTTTATTTTATTCATGAAAAGTAATAATTTTTTTTCTTCAAAGCTTAGTGATTTATATCCTTTCAAAAACTATTTTTTTTTCTACATTTAAATTGATAGTGAATTCTTTCAATTTCTTATTCAATTTATGCATTCTTTCTAAATTAAATAAGACAAATTAACTCTCAAATTGTAACTAAAAATATGAAAAAATATGTCAGCTTTATGACTCGCAATTTAAATCTTGTTAAATCATTTTCTAACTAACATAAACTTAAGTTTTTCATACTAAGTATGAGATGCTTATTTTAGCCCATACAAAGTTTTGTCATGAGAGGGAAGTTTGTCACTCTCAAATCTAGGATGTTGTTTGTCTTATATAAACTTTATCACTTATATACCATTTAAGAAGACACTCTTAACATCCATTTGGTAACTTCATATTATTGAAGGAAAGAAAGGACAATAAAATGTGTATGACTTTTTGATGAGTAATATGTACAAAATTTTCTATAAAATTTATGCTTTCCTATTATGAGTAACTTTTGGCTACAAGTTTAGCTTTGTTCCTCACAACACTACCTATTTTGTCTAGTGTGTTCCTAAAGACTATTTCATTCCTATGATTGACTTGTCTTATGGGAGATCGATGACATTTCTTAAAATTAAGAACAAGGTTAGTCTCAATGCATCTATTCAAAACTCTATCCAAACTATCCAAACATGCATCA